GTAAAGGCCTAAGTAGTATGAAAGATATGTTGCAATGATTAACATTAAGCATAGGATGCTTTTATTACTAAGTAAAATATATACGTACCCTGCCATCAGCTTTAACCAGGCGTTTGCCATGGCCTGGATAAATTTTGTACCCACTGTAAGAGCAAAGCTCAAGCCTAAGGAGGGGAAATGTAAACAAGTGTTAACATTGAATGATTAAAAATTATGAATTAAAAATTAGATAAAGACCAAAATCAGTCCCAATGCATATGTATCTTGGTTACTACAATACCTCTTATACTAACTTAATTAAAATAGCCTTTGAAATAATAATAACTTAAAGGATGAAATAGGATTATTAAAGCTATAAAAATTGTTTCCATTACTTCATCTTGATGACCGGAAATCAGAAAGGAAAATAACAGTCTCGCAGACAATTTCCTTCGGGTGGAAGGGAGTCAAACCGTACTCAAATATAACGTGATAAGGCCCTTAAGATCCTTACACGACAACCGTGTTGAGGGGACCCCCCCCCCCAAAAAAAAAAAAAAAAAAAAAAAAAAATTTCCTTCGGGGGGAAGGGAGTCAAACCGTACTCAAATAAAACGTGATAAGGCCCTTAAGATCCTTAAACGACAACCGTGTTGAGGGGACCCCCCCCCCCCAAAAAAAAAAAAAACCAAAAAACTTTAATATTATTTCTGTAGTCCCATTTATACAAAATAGGTTGTGAAGATGATAAAACATGTTTGAACAGGACATATTTAACCTATATAAGTTTTTTTTTTTCAAAAGTTAGAATCAATTCATTAATTTGAAGAAAAAAAAGAACTCTCAAGAAAATACAACTAACATTTAATTAAGTAAATTCACCTGCTATTTAATAGCTACTATTTTGTCGAAATAAAACAGTTTCTATCTCAGATGAGAAGAAATTGAATTCGATTGCAGGACAAGGTGCAAAGCATGTTAAAGAACGTTCTAAAATTTGGAATGTTCTGCATTCACAACGAGTAGAACATTCGCTTGCTAGACTATGTCAAGAGAAGTAGCGTTAAAATCGTTTTCTTCAGTTAAAAAATATGGGTTTAAACTGTATTGGTTTTTACAATCGTTAATTAATTAGGGGAGGCAAAATTGTGGAAGTTTGCGATTTGCCAACTTGTAACTAGCTATCACAGAATAAACAAGATTTAACATTTAACGATGATTTAGGTAACCTTTAATTTTGTCTCCCAGAATGAGTGTCCCCTTTGCCCTCTCCTTTGCACGGTGCTGATAGGACTTATAAGTCACTACATCATAAGGAACATCCCTCTTTTCTATCAAAGACTGACGTGTATATGCTGAGGGTCATCCTTCAACCAGTCTACGGTCCATGATAGCAAATGAGCTTTGTTAATTCATGTTTGTCTCTGACACCTTAAGCTGGATCAACCTAAAAAAAATATGATTCTTTGCGTTATCATCACTCGCCATTCTAAATGTTGTTGGAGCTTCTTTTCAGATTTTCTGGCCACTATTATTAACTCTTTCAGCCTCCAGTTTTCCCACTTTTCTTCATATTTAAAAAAAAAATCAACCCACTAATGAAGGCAGTTTAAGAACAAAACAAATTCTTTCTCTGTATTTTTCTGTCAAATATTTCTTGGCCAAAACATACATAACATTTTAATTAACCACTAAGCTACACATTGGTGTGTGTGTGTGTGTGTGTGTAATATATATATACAGGGTGGACCTGTTAACATCGTTTTATTATCAGAAACATAAAAAGGCACCAACGCTTACAATTATTTATTGAGAAACAGGGAGAGTGGGGGAGGGGGCAGATTGAACAAGTTTTCTGAATAACTAGCATAGTAATTTTCATACAACTGTCAATGACAAAACTTATATTAGCTCAATTATATAACTATTTGTTACGAGATGTTCTTACTTTTAGTAAGATGACCACCCTGTATAAATATTATATAATATATATGTATATATTAATTTGCGTATACGGATCTTAAGGACCTTAAAAATATAGTTTATAATTTATAGTCAAACAATTAAAACCCTAAGTGTTTAAAAAAATGATTTAACAATTATTATCTGTCTTAAAAATCTAAGACATTTATTTTTTTAAAACAACGAATCTGATTAATAAAAGTACAATAATATTTTATTTACTTTTACAGTTTATTTTAACAGATCCGAAAGCCACCACGAATTCGAAAACTATTTCAAGATGGCTGATCTCGAAGGTAAACAATACTTATTTTGTGTTTGAAGATAACTGTAACAACACTTCTCTACGGGTGTTAAATCATGATTTCATTATTCCTTACATATTTCAATCTTCGTATAACCCATATCTCATTTTTAAATGGCGTTTGCAGGGGCAACATAATTTTTAGAATTTGTTTCTCTCTAAAAAGTACTAACTAAAAGGTAATTATACCGACAGCCGACAGTGTTCAGGGTAATATTATAATAAAGGGGAAGTATACAAGTTATTAAGAATCTCCAGGCTGCAGCATTATTTATTTACATTTAATTTCTGATCAGGACTAGCAATTATATTGTATTATTTTTACAAAAATGTAACTGCGTTTAAGTTTAAGTGATAATTTAATATTTTTGGTGGAAATCTACTTACTACTTCATCTAAAAAAATTATCTAAAAAAAGTATATTGTTTAATTTTAATAACAATATACTTTTTTAGATAATTTTTTTAGATGAAGTACTAACAGACTAATAGCCTTTTTAAAAATACATATATTGAGTGCATAAAATATGAAAAAGACGATTTTAGCACCAAAGATTTTGGCACCATCTTAAGTTTAAGCTTGGCACCCAGGCTGATTGCTATCTTCTCAAGATCCTGGCAACTAGGGAGAGGGGGTATGAAAGTTTGACTTTTTAATGTACCATTATGATTATATTATAATTTATTATATGGACATAATGGCGTATTGTTGGTGACAAGGATGTCCATTTGTATTTTAATTATTATTGCTGATTTCTAATAAGGGTAGGAGTAGGTCGAAAATAGTGTGACATCATTTTCGAATGAATCCTAAGTATGTATGTTAGTTAGTATTTTCAATATTATGCATATAATTAATCAAATTGGCTGTTTAGATTCCAATATCGGAAAAATAATTAAATTACTAAAGGGAAGCGTTATCCACACAGCTCTGTGAATAATGTTGAGCGTTATCGGCAGACCGAAATCTGAGAATAATGCGGAGCGTTATTGTTAGACAGAAATGTTCCCATAATTACGCACATTTCTAGAAATAATTAGGATCACATTCCAAGCCGGGGTAGGGGTGTAGTTTTAAGTAGTGTAGGATAGATCGATCGTTAATGAGAATGGCACAAACACATCGCAAAACCAAAGCTACCGGTATGCACAAGTTAAATTTAAAAAATTTAATAGGCCTAACTATAGCCTATATATTGGATATAGGACAATTAATTGTGCCTACATCTGCTCTGTTAGGGGCCAACATATTGACCTATAGAGTGTTACTAATAGATCCAGTCAAACCTCCTACTCCTAGACATAGCTAATTTTCTGGTATTTCATATTAAATGTTATACCAGTAATAAAAATGGTACCGGTATTCTTCATGTAGACTCACTTTCACCCATTGTAGAGATGTCTTTAAATGATGTCAAAGCTTGATAGGATATCGTTTAGTTTTTTTAAAACACGGATATATCACGTAGTCCAGAAATAGTCAGAAATAGTTGACATGCCGTGCAACAGTGTTATGATGCAGAGAGGTGTCTCCATCAGTATTATTATTTCTGCAATATTGCTTCATGAAAAAAAATTTTTGCAAAACTCTGAGAAAGTTTTCTTGTATATGCTGTAAAACTGCGGTGGTATTCCTCTACTTCAGCAGTTCTCAATCTGTGGGTTGGGAACCCTTTGGGGGGTCACACAAACCTTTCATAAGGGTTGCCTAAGACCATCGGATAACATAAATAATCTACAGTTATGAAGTATCAATGAAAATAAGTTTGTGGTTAGGCGTCGCCACAACATGAAGAACTGTATTAAAGGTTTGCGGCATTAGGGAGGTTGAGAACCACTGCTCTAATTCATTTTAATAAAGGAAAATAAAAACTGACTATTTTTTATTTTGTGTCCCTATAAAATATGTTGTAACTCTCTAAAATTTAGATATTAGGTAATCACAACCATTGAACACTTGAGAGTAAATATTTCTCGGGGCATCTTAGCACTTAAACCTTTTTTTTCCAGATGGGTTGTAAGTGTGTATAGTATTGTTTGAAAAGTTAGTGTTTACACTAATTAGTGAAAATTGTGAAATTCTTATGAGTGCTTGACTAATTAAAATTGTATAAACCAAACTTTTTTAGATAAAGAAGCTTCTAATGAAGATGAGGAAAATGGTAGCGACAAAGAGGTGCTATTCTTAGCGGACCAAGAATTGACTTGTATTCAAATACCAGAAGGCTTGGAGCCTAAAACTCTGATTCTGGATAATAATAACATAAGTAAATTAGATGGCTTGGAAAACTTTTCTAATCTATCTCAGGTATTTTGTCTATGCAAATATTTTTCATTAATGTTAATTTTGATTAACATATTTTGATTAACATATTTTGAAATAGACAAAAAATGAGGTCTTATGCACATTTTAAATAAATAATTGATTTAAACTGGTTTATTGAGGCCCAGAAGTTTTGAACTTTATTAGATATCACCTTAATAGAAATTTAAAAATTTTGTATTCCCTTAAACTCCAGCAAGGAATCTAGGGTTGCAGAGGTATCGAACTATCAAGATGGATGTAGGGAAATAAGATATCTATGTTTTATAAAGTTGTCAACAATTTGTAACAAATTTTTCAACAATTAGCACACTGTCACATAAGTTGAAAACGAGCAAAAATTTTAATATTTGTTTGTTAATCTTCGATATTATTATAGCTAACAACAAAAGCACTTTACATTTTTTAAATGTAAAATTAAATATCATTTCCTCAGTTGTCTGTTAAAAACAACCACATAGTACGGATGACAGGTCTGAGCTCACTTACCTCACTCACAGTTCTCAGTCTGTCCAGCAACAGTATTGTGGCTATAGATGGGCTTCAAGAGCTAACCCAATTGATGTGGTTGGACCTTTCATCGAATTCTATTAAAGTAATTTTTATAGGAATAACTAATAAACAAATAGTAGTTTGGTTGTGCATTGGGTGTCAGGACTTGTTCAAGAACTTGATAATTAATTGTCTTTTGATTAGTTAGCGACTTGAAGTAGGTCTCAAGTACCTTATAATTTTTCAAAGCTTGCTGGATCCTCAGCTTTACCTAATGAACAATGTTTAAAAGATTAATGTAGCTTGGAAACATATTATGTTATTACTGAGGGTTGTATTTTTTGTATCAGTCCCTTTTCAGAATTTAAAAAAAAACATTTCTTTTACAATCATATTACATTAAATAACAAATATTTCCCAAAGACCTGCAAAAATAGTCTAAAAATAAAATTTCTTTAAATATTAGCTTTTCTTTCATAATTATCCTTAAAAAAAAAAAATTAACTACTTATTTTTACTTTTATATAATCTCATATCTTTTATCACCAATATAAAATATAAACTTCTGATGCATTTAGTCTAGCAGTATTTGTATATGCATTCAGCACCCTATGATTTAAAAACAATTAATCATTTACAATAAAACAGAACAGTCAGTTTGTAACTCTTTTTTCTTCTTCATTTCAGAACATTGAACATTTGCCTAAAGGAGGCAAACTTCATTATATCGATCTCTCGGATAATGACGTTACACACATCTCTGATATGAGTAGTTTGCAAAATTTGAAGGTTTATTTTTATCTAATTTTGTAAACATGTTTTATCAAATATTGTCTTTTTTATTTAGATTTTAGTATTTAATTATTATTTATGTACCTTCTTCATTTATTTGCTAAATATTTATTGAATTTTAAATTCAGATTATAATGTAGAATACATTTAGAACTCATTGGTTAGTTGAGCTTGTAAGCTTTAATTTTTAAAAAATGTTTTGATATTTTTAAACTCAAAGAAATGTATTAAAAATAAAAGAAATATTCAACTTACTTTGCATCTTGTGAGCCCATCTTGTATTTTCATTTGAGAGCTTAATCCACCCTCATGTGTTACTATTTACAGACACTGCTTTTGCACAGCAATAACATTACTTCTTTGAAGCCGGCAGCAGTCTGCCTGCCACAGAGTGTGGCTATTCTCTCCCTTGCAGATAACGGCATCCATGATCTGAATGAAGTAATTTTTAAGCAATTTCAATTTTTCTTTTTCCTAATCATCTGAAAAAAGAAATGAAAAAAAAATGTTTTTAAATATCTTGTTGTTTTTTTTAAATTATTAATTTTCATTTAAACAGCTTTATTTAAAGTCATGTTATGTAAGTCATCCTTAAAGCATTTTTTATAATTGATTAATAAAATTGGATTTGCAGAGTGGAGTTTAGTGGTTTATTAAAGGAATTGCAGTTTGTTTGGGAAAGAATTTTCAGTGGTGGCCACCATTATATTTTTATTTTGAAGTTGTTTGAAAGAATAACATCATTTAGCATGTTAATTGTTAACATTGTACACTTTTTTTTTTTATTTGTCTTTCAGATATGTTACCTTTCTGGTTTGCCTAATTTGCAACAACTGTCGATTTCTGAAAATCCTTGTGTACTCATTGAATCTGGGAACTCATATCCTTTTTTCACCTGGTCATGAATAAACATAAATTGACACTTTGTCGCAAAGTTATTTATAAATCAAAAACCACTTTTTCCATCTATAGTTTTTTTTCAAACTTTGATATATGCTTCTATAGAACTAATACAGCTTATTAGGGGGCCGGGGGGGGGGAGTGCGGGGGGAGGGGGAGTGTTAAATCACTGTGTTAGGTTTAGTGATGAGTTGTTAAACCAGGATTCAATACAGGAAGTCATTGGGAACAGAAAAGAAATACTTTTATCAGTACCAAAAATGGAGGTTTTCTTCCTTTCTTAAACATGCATTTTTTTGACATAGAAAGTAGGGACATAACACAATAGCATCTCTGACTTTATTAATGTTCAGTTTTTCACATTATCAATTAAACAATTTTACAATAAATTGAAAAAAACAAATACAAAATTCCCTTGATGATAAAATACAAAACATAAATTAATTGTTCCACGCTAAAAGATTCATAAACAAACAATTTTAAATAGAAACAGTTGGTTATGACTTAAACTTACAGTATTTTTACACTTCCCATCCTTGGCTTTAAAATATCAAAACGGTTTCCTTAACACTGCATACTGTGTTTGACCACCGGCCATTTGTGTGGAACTGGTGTCCCACTATTGAAGTCTTAGATGGAAATCTTATATCTGAGAAAGAAAGGTCAGTTTCCCAGATTTTTAATGCTGAATTCAGTATTGCAAAATTAAGTTAAATATTCTTTAAGTTTCTCAAATTTTTAAGTGGACAAAAATATTTATTTAAAATAAAAGTAAGTTTAGTACAGCTATTATCTCAGAGTTATTTTTAAAATTAAGTGCCTAAAAAAATATTATTTTTTTTAACATTAATGGACATGAATAAGCCCTGTATCCTGGTGTTACTAAGGCCTTTCTTTTACTAAGTCATACAACAGCCAAAATAACATGTGACAATTGTTTAGGTTGCTAGGGGAATGGTTGTACTGCCAAGGTAAAGGACGCCTGTTTCACCCAGGTGAACACGTTGAGCTGGTGGAATACCTGGCCAGTACATGCCCTGTGAATCTTGGGGAGGTAAGTAAGGTGGTTTTTTTTGTATGTGCAAGAGACACATCGTGGTGCGAGGAAAAGGGAATTATAAGAACAGAACAGAATTTAGCTTTTAAATTATGATATATTTTTAACATTTAATAACTTTTCTATTTTTATAAAAACATTTTTTTTTTCATAAGTCTACAGTTCTTTGCAATTCAATAAATAAATAAATTCCATAAATAAATTAAATGCATTACTATGGTAGAGGGTGTGAGACAATTCGTCTGGGTTGCAAGACTAGTCAAATAATTCGTAGGGGGTTCTGAGTATAGAAATTTTTGGGAAACACTGCTCTAAAGATCTCAAAATTGTACACAGAATAAAATATTTACTTTTAGTTATGTACTAATAATGCTACTGTCACATCTCTTAAATACCTAAACATTTTGACTAGCTAGCAGAGTTAACTTGTTTCTGTTTTTTTCTTGCCACACAAAGTAGCAGTTGGGCTGTTGGATTAAAAATGTAGATTACCTGGTTGTAAGTTGTTGGAAGATGTATTTGAGTTTTGCATCCTAACCATTTCCAGGCTCTGAATAACCCTTTACCACAAAGGGCGATAAAAGAAATTTCAGAATAGCAGCAAAGCCACATATATTAGTGGTAATGACCCTTTGTGGTGTGTGTGTGTGTGTTTGTGTGTGTGTGTTAATTGTTAATGTGGTGTTTCAAATGTTAATTTAAACTGCTCACCACCAATGGATTTAGATGGACTACATCAAAATATATATGCATGTCAACAGCGGCAACCAAACTAAAGCGCCATTTTGTTGTGGAATGTTCCATCATGACCCAAATCTCTCCTTTGTGGCATTCTGAACCAAACATGTTAAAAATATTTTAGTTCTGCTGAACAGTGGCCAGTAAATTACGAGTGAACTAGGAATAGATTTCAAATTTTTACATTCTTTGAAAAATTCACGCAGTGCACATGCTATATAGGAACCATATGCATATGTGGGGCTCTTTAAGCTTCTCAAGCCTTCAATACTTGATGGCCCTCTGCAGTTTTTCCATACGGTTAGAGGCTAGAGTTGACTCCAATACAAGAAATAATCCCTTCTCTGACATTCAACTAAAATTTTGCTTCACCTCTACTTCGTGGCAAACATTTATGTTCGCTTGTACGCATATCTTTCCAGTGTATAGTGTAGACTATATCCGTAATGAGCTGTACATAAGACAGTGGCCACAGGGAGCTCATCAGACATATCTTTCCAGTGTATAGTGTATATCTGCAATGAGCTATACATAAGACAGTGGCTACAGGGAACCCATCAGACATATCTTCGCAGCGTATAGTGTATATCCGCAATGGGCTATACATAAGACAGTGGCCACAGGGAACCCATCAGATATAAAAGCTTTGCCATCAAAATCTTTCATTTTAACAATTTTGTATATTTAAGAAAATACAATTTGAAGCTTCTGAGACAATGAAGTCCACCATCTCACTTTTCATCAACAATGATGACTTCATTCACTCAATACAGCTAAAAAAAAACAAGATGAGGGTTTATATATCCCTTAATTATGATCATACAATCACTCTTTAGTCCATTATGATCATACAATCACTCTTTAGTCCATTATGATCATACAATCACTCTTTAGTCCATTATGATCATACAATCACTCTTTAGTCCATTATGACCATACAATCACTCTTTAGTCCATTATGATCATACAATCACTCTTTAGTCCATTATGATCATACAATCACTCTTTAGTCCATTATGACCATACAATCACTCTTTAGTCCATTATGATCATACAATCACTCTTTAGTCCATTATGATCATACAATCACTCTTTAGTCCATTATGATCATACAATCACTCTTTAGTCCATTATGATCATACAATCACTCTTTAGTCCATTATGATCATACAATCACTCTTTAGTCCATTATGATCATACAATCACTCTTTAGTCCATTATGATCATACAATCACTC